CAACCAGAGACCCAGCCGGCCCCGCGTCGGGAGTGGATCAATACTGACCTCCAGCAGGGAGGGTCCTATGGAGGCACCTCCAGGACTAAAGCATGTGGTGACTCCCTCGGCTTCACATCCAACCACACGCCGCCACCCAGGCCTCCTAACCCCAGCCCCGGGCGCCTGGCCACTCCCTCCCTGGGCGTGGCTGGACCCTCGGGCAGCCAGGGCCCGGGCTGATTGCACTGGCTTGTTTGTAGGACGTGTGTCCCTCCCACTGAGCTGCAGGTTCTTTCACGGGGAACTCACTCCCCGGGCTCCCGGCCCCTCGCTCAGCAGGCTCAGTGAGTCCCCACGGAACGAAGGACAGGGTCTGCGCTCACCTGGAGCACTGCTGCCTCTTACCGTTAATCACAAAAAAGGAGAGAAATGAAGTGGGGGGGATGGGGGGCCACTAGGAGAAGATCTTTTCTTCCCTGAGTGACTCCAACATTTTGGAACACGTAAGTCCAGATTTCAGAACACAGACAGCACCCTAGGGGGGCCCGTCTGCCTGCAGAGCCTCACTTCCAAACACGCAAACGCACGGGCAAGAAGGTGACGTCCTCCGGCCGACAGTCAGAGCCTGTCCGCCTGGGACTGTTTGGAAGGCCTGTTTGTCAAACAAGGCACGAGGGCTGAGACTCAGAACCCCATTTCCTTTTCTTTTTTTAAATATATGTACTTTTTTATTTCAGACACAAAGGGAGAGGGAGAGAGAGAGAAACATCCATGATGAGAGGGAATCATGGATCGGCTGCCTCCTGTAAGCCCCACACTGGAGATCAAGTCCAAAACCTGGGCACGTGCCCTGACCGGGAATCGAACCCATGACCTTCTGGTTCAAAGGTCGACACTCAACCACTGAGCCACGCTGGCTGAGCCAGAATCGCATTCTTGCCTGAAAAGCCAGGAGGCTGGGTTCCCACCCTGACCGCTGGGAAGGACAGCAAGGTCCCTGGGGGTCTGGGCAGCCCAGAGAAGCATCCCAGATGCTCACCCCACCCCTGCACTTAGAACCCTGGGCTGTGACAGCACTGAGGTCTCCAAGGTAACCAAGGACAACAGGGTAGGGAATGATGGCCCCGGAGGGAAGGAGATTAAATTTTACTTCTTCCGCGGCAGCATCGAATGGACGTTTAAAACTACAAAGCCGAACGGGCAAGGCGGGATGCAGGGTGCTCTGCAGGAATGTTTAACTGGACACACGGGATTTCCAAGGAGGATACATTTTTCCCTATTTTGAGACAATTTCAAAGTACCCAGAGACTCAAAGAAACTGAGACAGAAATAACTCGCCCCCCCCCCAAAAAAAGGGGGGGGGGGAGAGCTGGCTTTACAGATTTATGCCATCACTACTTATTTTTTTCCCGTTATTTCCAAAAACGCAGGCTGTATTCCATAGGGCGGCACCGGACTTCACACTAAAATATGCAAAATGATGATTTCACCCAGAGAAAGTGATCAACTGAAAAATTTAAAGCACGGCTATGTGCTGACCTGTTGCCAAGAAAACGGCCTAAAAAAATAAACATGGGTTTAACAACAACAAAAATAAGCATGGATTTAATAAAGACAAAATAGACATGGGTTTAATAGAGTAGCTTTTCATTCACTTACTCGTTTAGCCATTTCACTTGTCCCACCTTCCCACCCTCCCTCATGCAAATCTCATTCTGGGGCCCATGGTCCTCCCTGGGTTCTGTGGCTTAACCACAACCTGTTAAGCATTTAGCGCTGGTTAAACCAGCCGTCTGCCAGGCACTGTGCTGTGCATTTGCTCATTACACCCTCACCACAGCCGCCTCTTACCCAGGCCTGAAAGTGGAGGAAAACTCGGAACCTTAGATAGCTCACCGGAGTTCACACACCTGGCAAGTGGTGGACTCTGAACTTGAACCCAGGTCTAGCTGACAAAGGAGTAATTCAGAGAACCCAGCCTCCTATAGGAACAGAAAGCAGCATCTGTTTCTGAACACAGCACTGAGCCCCGTTCAAATTCCAGCTCTTCAACTCGCCAGCTCTGCAACCGGGAGCAGAGGGACCTCCCTGCGCCTGTTCCCTCGCGGAGAAAGCAGGGCTGAGGGAGACATACAACCTCTGTGAAAGCCATAGCATCGGGGAGGGACCCCGCAGCCACGCAGAGCCCAGCTGCAGGTGTGCATAGAGAGAGAAAAAAAAGTGCATTCAGCCGAAACCGGTTTGGCTCAGTGGATAGAGCGTCGGCTTGCGGACTGAAAGGTCCCAGGTTCGATTCCGGTCAAGGGCATGTACCTGGGTTGCGGGCACATCCCCCGGTGGGGGATGTGCAGGAGGCAGCTGATTGATGTTCCTCTCTCATCGGTGTTTCTAACTCTCTATCTCTCTCCCTTCCTCTCTGTGAAAAATCAATAAAATATATTTAAAAAAAAAAAAAAAAAAAAAAGTGCATTCAGTTGTACACCGAGCTTTAGCAGGCCGAGCCTACTGGAAATGCCAGGTCCCCAAAGGTTAATCCATTTAAAATTAGTTGACTAATTCAGGACTCACTCGTTTGAACACAGGACTGAGGGACTGCAAATTTTCATGGATTTCTGTTAAATCGGTGACTTCCCGTCACATACCCATTCTCATGCTTCTCTTCAGTAGCAAAAGTAGATGCGTGTTAAAAACCAAAGTCTGTGGGCACCCCTGGGCAGTAATGACATAAACGGGCCAGGTTTTGGTAAACACCGTGGAAAAGGCATTATTTAAATAATAATATATTTTATTGCTTTTTTACAGAGAGGAAGGGAGAGGGATAGAGTTAGAAACATCGATGAGAGAGAGACATCGACCAGCTGCCTCCTGCACACTCCCCACTGGGGATGTGCCCTCAACCAAGTATATGCCCTTGACCGGAATCGAATCTGGGACCCTTCAGTCCGCAGGCTGACGCTCTATCCACTGTGCCAAACCGGTCAGGACCTTTTTTAAAAAAATATATATTTTATTGATTTTTTTACAGAGAGGAAGGGAGAGGGATAGAGAGGTAGAAACATCGAGAGAGAAACATTGATCAGCTGCCTCCTGCACACCTCCTACTGGGGATGTGCCCGCAACCAAGGTACATGCCCTTGACTGGAATGGAACCTGGGACCCTTCAGTCTGCAGGCCAACGCTCTATCCCAAGCCAAACCGGTCAGGGCGAGACGTTAACGTTCTTGGGCATCGAGGGCCATGCGGAGCGAGCCTGCAGTTTAATAAAATGACGGAATCCTGTCCCTCTAATCTGCTCAGTCCCTGAGCTCCAGCGGGCTCCAGAGCAGCTGCAGAAAGAGCTTTGGGCTGACACGCTGGAGACGAAAAGGAACCAGAGAAAGGCTGTGCCCGTCTTCAGAGCAATTCCTATCTGCCCCGCTTTCCCGCATCTGCACGTTAATATTTAGCTGACTCTGCAGCGGGGAAAAGACACGGAACTCTCCACACGGTCAGGCCTTTCTGAAGGCCCTGGGCACGGAGCTCCGTCCCTTAAGAAACAGCCCGCTTCCTTTTTGGTTGCAATCATTCCATTAACATTATTAATGGTGTATTTTCAAAACATGATGAACATGTTTCTCTTGCCCAGCACTTGTGGGGGGGGCGGGGGGGACGACGACTTCTTGAGGCCCTCCCATCCGCCTCATCTGAAGGCATTATTTTTAAGCCTCGCTGATTCAGGCAGAATTAGGCAAAGTGGGATCCCAGGACTCACTGTGATTAAATAAGGTTTGCAAGCGGGTCTCCTCTGCAAAAAAAAAGGGGGGTGGGGGAGAGGGAGGCCAGGAGGACGCCCTGGCTACACTTCCAACAGGCAGAGTGCTGAATCTGTTACTTTTGATTTAGCCTGTTATTGACTGTGTCTACAGAGAGAGAAAAAACTCCATCAAGAGAAACATTCCGGATTTCCACCCCCCACCCCCCAAGCAATGCCTAACAGCAAAGGCTTTGTTCCAAGGACCAAAGCAAGGAATGCCATCGCCTAACTTCAAGCTCTCTGGTGGCCTCCCTCCCTCCCTCCCTCCGGCCCAGACATCTTCTAAATTTTAGAACCTAAAACACCTACACCACCCCCATTTTAGGGCTGTAACTTGACATTCCGGCCGAGAGAAACTTCATCATCTCCAGTCAATATGGGCGCACGTCTGGCTGGTCAGCCGGTTCCCCATCGGGAGCCAAGCGGAGCGCCGGCCACTTGACCCGCATCGCGGCCTGGGAGGGACGCAGGGCTAGTCCCTTAGGGTGCGGCAGGGAAAGGGGGGCAGCGAGGTCACAAGCGGCCCCAAACCAGTCGGCGGCGGCCCTGCGCTCCCCGCCCCGGCCCTGCCCACACCGCCCGCGGCTTGGTCGGCCGGAGCCGGCTGCGCCCCCGCGTCCCCCCCGCAGGATGTGGCGGGCTGAGCCGTGAGCGCTCGGCGCGATGACTTTGCGCCTTAACCGAACCAGGCCTTTCCAGGCCGGAGGTGGCAGGTGAGACGCAGGTAGCCGGGGCGGCGACCCAGGCCCGGGGATCAGCAGCCAGGCCTCCGCGCAGCGCCCCGCACCCTCTCCGGGCGCCGCGCACACCTTTCCCGGGCGGCCAGCTCCCCGCAGAGGCGGCCAGGGGCGCGCGGCGCACACCTGCCCCGCGGGACCGGCTGCCGGCGGACGCGCTCCGCCAACCGGTCGGGAGGCGGCGCGCGGGGAGGGCGGGCGAGCCAGGACCCCGGCCCCGTTCCCCGCCCACCGCCCAGCCAGCCTTCGGGCCCAAGTTGGGCGGGTCCGGGAACCCGCGGGCCGGGGCCCCGCGAGGGAAGTGGGGGCGGGGTCCCTAGAAGAGGCCCCAGGTGGCCATCGGCCCGGTCTGCCGAGCCCCCTCCACGGAACAAAGGGCTCCTGTGTCGGGCGCGGGGAGCCCGGCCGCGTCCGGATCGGAGGGAAGAAACTTTCCCGGGACGCGGGAGGGGGCCGCGGGCGGGGCCGGGGGCAGGGCGCGCGCTCACCTCCTCGATGGCGGCCACGGTGTGGCGGCACTGCGCCGTGCGCGTGGTGAAGCTCGAGGCCGTGGGCGCCTTGTAGTCCTCATGGGTCTCGGCCACGAATTCCGACACGGAGATCTGGTCCGGCATCGCCGCGGCGCGCGCGGCCGGCCGCCGGGCAGGGGTCGCTCCGCCGCCGCCGGGCTCCCTCCTGCGGCCCCTCGCCGCCCGCCCGGTCCGCGGACAAAGGGACGCGCCGGGGCGCGGGCCGCCGGAGCCCCGGGAGCCGCCGCGGGGGCCGCCGCAGGGCGCAGCAGGGCCGGCCGCGGGCCCGGGCGGCGGGAGCAGGGGCGGCGCGCGCAGCCCCGCGCAGCTCGGGCCCGGCCCGTCCGCCCGCCGCGCCGAGCGCTCCGCCGCCGCCGCCGCCGCCTGCGCTGCCGAGCGAGCCCCCGGGCGGACGCGCAGAGCCGGCGGGAAGTGCCCGCCACCCAGCCGCGGGCCCCGAGCGCGTCCGACGGAGAGGGGCGGGCCCGGGCCGGGGGCGGCGGCCGGCGGGGCGCGGGGCGGGGCGGCGCCGAGGGCCGGGCGGCCAATCCGCGCGCTCGCCGCCGCCGCCGCCGCCGCCACCGGGGAGCCGGGCCCGCAGGAAGCCGGCGGCGCGCGTCCGGCCCGCCGACCGCTCGCCCTGCGCCGCGCCCCGCATTGTCTCGGCGTTCGGACCCCGCGCCGGCTGCTGGGGTTCGACGACGCGCCCCGCGGGGCTCCCCCAGGCGGGCAGGTCCCAGGCGCCAACCCCTCCCGGCCCCCCGGGGCGCGCGCAGGATGCGCTCGGCCACCCGGCCAGGCCCCGCCCCAGCCACCGCCTCGGCCCTCCCCCCCCGCCCGGCCTGGAGCCTCTCTGCGCCCCCCTCCCACCCCCCCAGCCGCCAGGCCCGCCCGGACCCGGCCCGCGAGGGAGAAGGTGTGAGGCGCTCGCCCCCTACCGGACGGTGCGCTCCGCCCCGGGCGCGCACTTCGCGTGACCAGTGCCCCGGTCGCCCGAGTCTGGCTGTGGTTCTGTAACAGCAACAGGAATCGACCGCCTACGAGTGCGGTTCTGCTCAGTGCACACTCCCAGGCCTCATGGCCTAGGACAGGGGTTCTCAACCTTCCTAGTGCCGCGACCCTTTAATACAGCTCCTCATGTTGGGGTAACCCCCAACCATAACATTGTTTTCGTTGCTACTTCATAACTAATTTTGCTACTATTGTGAATCGTCATGTAAATATCTGATATGCAGGATGTCTTTTCATTGTTACAAATTGAACATAATGAAAGCATAGTGATTAATCACAAAAACAATATGTAATTATATATGTGTTTTCTGACGGTCTTAGGCAGCCGTGGGCAAACTACGGCCCGCGGGCCGGATCCGGCCCGTTTGAAATGAATAAAACTATTGAAATAAAAGACCGTACCCTTTTATGTAATGATGCTTACTTTGAATTTATGTTAGTTCACACAAACACGCCATCCATGCTTTTGTTCCGGCCCTCCGGTCCAGTTTAAGAACCCATTGTGGCCCTCGAGTCAAAAAGTTTGCCCACCCCTGGTAGGCGACCCCTGTGAAAGGGTCGTTGGACCCCCAAAGGGGTCGCGACCCACAGGCTGAGAACCGCTGGCCTAGGACCAGGCCAGGAGGTGGGAGTTGGTTTCCTATAGAAGACCAGGACCCCAGGGCCCCAGAGAGCGGCCCCATGGGGGTTCACACCCGTCCCCCTGACCCCCAGCAGCCGTCCTAGTCGCATTCCTGAGCTAATGCAAGTATAGGTCATTCTTGGTTACTCGGTTACTTGGCTTTAGGGTCCTAGGCCGGCGCCCGCCCCTGTAAGGTACCTGAATCCGGGAGCTTTTCCACACCGTTCCGGAGAGAGTGGGCAGCCATAGTGGGCAAATCTCACCCCTACAGGTTTTCATATAACAGCTCTCCGTTATTTCTAAAAATCCAGAAGCTCTGCAGACATTAGCCAACGACAGTCACACCCTATAACTCCGCACGGCCTGCGGCACGGTCTCCGTAGCTGCCAGCCGTAACGCCGAGGGAGACTTGACAAAAACCTTTTGTGCATTTGAAAAGGAGGAAGTGTGAGAGACACTGGAAATTCAAGACGTCAGACAGACCGTGGCCGTGGCCGCAGGACAGTGGGCCGGTCACACACTCTTTTTTAAGCTCCCATGTGAGAATTCGCTCTGTGAGGTGGCAGCCTGGGTCAGACGTGATGCATGGCCTCTGGTATTTTAGTGGCGTTGCCTGTGACATTTCGCTTTCTGCAATAGCTGTGTCCCTGGGTCGCTTTTATGACTACACTAGGCGGTAAGTTACCGTTTGAAAACCTGTAGCATTTCTTCTTTTGTCCTCCCTGTATGTGTAGCTCTCCCCCACACCCCCCCTCTTTTTAGTGTCTTTGATGGTTTTCTGTCTTTGCAACTTGCTGCAATGCAAGCCTGTATGTATTCTTTACGTGAATACATCCTCTCCTGCTCCGGCCAGACTGGTCCTGCCTTGCTGGCTTTGCAGCTACAGGCGTTGCTGTTGCTCACTGACGTTGCAGAATGTCCCGGCTAATTTTTCAAGTCCTATTTTATGGAGGACGAGCGTCTGTCAGGCTCTGAGGATTTAAGAAGAGAGGACTATTTTTCTCAGCAGTAGCCAGACTGATCAAGACTTCTATATGCCAGGACGAAGTTAGCCTTCAAGTTTTCTCCTATTCTGTCTGTATGTGCAGCTCATTTTTTTCTGGTTTAATACAGTGGGGCCTTGACTTACGAGTGTCCCGACTAACGAGTTTTTTGAGATACCAGCTGTCTCTCGGCCGATTTTTTGCATTGAGTTGACAGAGTAATTTGAGTTAACGAGCTCCTTAATGAGCTCAGTCTCAGAACGAATTAAACTCGTAAGTCAAGGCCCCACTGTATAACTTTCCAGGGACTGAAGGTCCTCCCGTTAGTAGCCACAAAAATAAGATTGCAAAGCCTCACGGCATTTTACAAGTGGAAGCGAAGCTGGCGGGGAGGCGGTCATGACCAGGCCCTCCGCATGGCTGGTGCAAAGAGGACAGCCGAGCAGGCACTAGAGCAGTTTATTCCTCCCGTCACCCCCGAGAGTCTCAGAAGACCCCACCCAGGGCAGAAGCCGAAATAAAGCAAGATCAGAACAAAACACGGCTAATGTGTCCCTGACGTTAATATAATGCGAATAGCCCGGCCCGTGTGCTCGTGGTTTAGCGTCAACCTATGAACCAGGAGGTCACGATTTGATTCCTTGTCAGGGCACATGCCGGGGTTTTGGGCTCGGTCCCCAGTAGGGGGCGTGCAGGAGGCAGCCCATCAGTGATTCTCATCATTGATGTTTCTAACCCTCTCTCCCTCTCCCTTCCTCTCTGAAATCCATAAAAATATATTTAAAAAAAATATATATATATAACGTGAATAAGTAGTTTCCAAGAAATAATAATAAACTTGAATATGGGTCAAGAAAACATTACAGCCAAGGCCAGTTTGGTTCAGTGGATAGAGCGTCGGCCTGCGGACTGAGGGGTCCCAGGTTCGATTCCGGTCAGGGGCATGTGCCTGGGTTGCGGGCATGTCCCCGGCGGGGGATGTGCGGGAGGCAGCTGATCGATGTTTCTCTCTCATCGATGTTTCTAACTCTCTATCTCTCTCCCTTCCTCTGTGAAAAATCAATGAAATATATTTAAAAAAAAAAAAGAAAACATTACACACACAGAAACACACATTTTTTAATGCATAGAAAGAAGACTGCTGATAATGCCGTGTCAGGCCTGTACCTACACCCTTATTCAGAACATTACAGTCGCACCAGCCTTAATCATCTGAAGCTTAAAATTTGACTCCTGCAGTGGTCAACTTGACCTGAAATGAACTGATGTGAGGCTATTTATAGTCTTGTTTACCCCACTTCTCATGAATATTTATGTTTTGCCACAAAATATAAATGTGCTTGATGATGGAGTCTTGCCCCAGGCCCCACGGGGGTGACACAACAGATTATCTAGTATGTTTGCTGCATGACCTGTTTAAACATCTGAAACATCCAGAATTCCACACACATCTGGCTCCAGAGGTTTTAGACATGAGGCTGTGCACTTGTATTATTTTTTAAGAAAAAAAAATGAACGGAAGAAGCCTGGTGTTTCAGGCTGGTCACCTCCAGGGGGGAGGGAAAACATCTCCTCTCAAACATGAACTCAGCGGCCCCCCGAGACTGGCCAACAGCCCGTCTTCCAAAGGCATCCTCTGCCTCCTGCACTTCCCAAGAACCCCAGCTTCTCACGCTCCGATCAAAGTGTGAGAAATATGTTCTTATCTCTGACGTGAGCTTGAGGGTGGGCTGGCTTCACGCCGGACTTACCCAGTCCCCTTGCCCTTCGTTTGTCAACGATTACTCTTGGAATGAACATCTGTGCCTGAAGAGAACTCTGGGGGACAGTGTAATGAAATAGAAAAACAGAACAAAATCCACAAATCCAAGCACGGGACAACCCTCACGATGCAAGCAGGCAAGCATAACCGGAAGTTGCTTTTCCACGGCTTACCCAGTACTCTCCCCCAAAACAGACGTGCTGAAGGGACTCGCTTATCCCCAAAGCGAGAGAAGTTTGAATACATTTGCCACAGTGCCCTGCCCTTGGCACTTTGTGGGGGGTTGGGGGGGTTAATATAGCAGCAACCGTTTTACAAACGAGGGCTTAGGTTCTGTTGCCGGCTTTGCTTGTCTGTGACTTTGGAGAAGTAAAATAACCTCTCTGGACTCCAACGGAAGACATTGGCCCAGCTGATTTCAAAGGCTCTTCCGGCCCTGGCACCTGCGATTCCTGGTCCACCGTGTATGTGAGTTTGGGCACGAAGGCCCTGTTACTGCTGAGAATCTAACCACTGGGCCGCGGCACTTGACAATGAGGATGTCTTAGGTGACCGTTAAAGCTAATTCTCAAAAAAGCTAAGATTTGAGGATGTCGTCATTTTTTTAAAAGCTGGTAGATTTAGATGACACGCTGATTTACTTACAGCTCACTTCACCATAGATCCTGGAGGTCTGTTTGTTTATTTTCGTTTGTTTTAACAAAGTCAGTTCTTCAGGTGACACTCTCCGTTCTAGGAAAGTGAGGTGTGACCCGCGGTGTGCCAGAGCCAGCTCGAGCCGATGCCAGAAAACCGACTGTTAGATTGTCAAGGGTTTTGCAAACTGTCGACTGAAGCTGGAAATGCTACCACAATCATGTGCTGTGCACATCTCTTCCCCACTGGGCGTTCTGGGCGTCCGTGCCGGAGGGGTTTACACCACAGAAATGGGCAAGTGCTCAACTTGATTGTTGTATTTTATTGTTGTGTTGATTGCCTAAACCTAAGTGACAGAGGAAACGTTCTTGCCGATGAGACCGACTGTGTGTCATGTCTGTAGCCTTTCCGTTGTGAATGGAAGACACCTGAGGGGATTTCCCTTCGGTATTTGCAAACTCATGTGATTCAGCAAAGAGGTGGCTCATGTCATCGACAGATGAGTTGCACATACGGCATCCGTCTTTACAACTTCTTTTTTATCTTGCCCATTAACGTAAACAAAACATCAGCCAACATTCACACTCAGAACTACACTCGTTTGTCAATCACGGCAGCCACTTCTTTGATGAATTGAATTGTAATCAAGCATTTATTCATAGTTTTATTTTGTCAAATCGCAGTTGAAATGCAAACACCGATTGACTATGAATACAAGAGCTCAGCAAAAATCAACGAGAGTGCTTGGGAAAGGCAATTAGCTGTATGGAGTATCAATAAAGAATAGTTCATAGCCCTAGCATGTTTGGCTCAGTGGGTAGAGCGTCGGCCTATGGACTGAAGGGTCCCAGGTTCGATTCTGGTCAAGGGCACCTGCGTGGGTTGCAGACTCGATCCCGAGTAGGAGGCGTGCAGGAGGCAGGCGATCAATGATTCTTTCTCATCATTGATGTTTCTATCTCTCCCTCCCTCTCCTTTTCTCTCTGAAATAAAAAAAAAAAAATAGTGTATCATTTGTGATTATAAAAGGGCTGCTATACATCCTTCATAGAATGAAGTTAACGCAAAATAAACGTATGTTTGTCCTTCAGGGAGCAGGTGGTTAAACATTTACCACCCCCTGCCAAGTGTAACTCACCTCTCAGAGGCAGGGCGGAGACCTTCCTGCTCTGAGTCACGCTCCTGCGATAAGATCCGGATCGAACTGAACCTCCATACAGTGGACTATGCACGCGGAGGCGACGTGCGTTCATAAAAATCTTAGGCTGATTCAGAAAATGCCATCTGTTCTCCTCGAGTGCTAGGACAGCACAGAAAGTGCAGGCGGAGGGCGGGGCCGCTGCAGTGAAGAGCAAACAAGTGGTGTGAGTAGCCCTCAGTGTAAGCAGGTTCGGCCGAGCTGTGGACGGAGCCGGCAATAATCTCTGTTCTGGAGGCCAGCCCTCTCTGCCCTGGATTAGGCCCGCCCTTGGGTTTCGTAGGAGCCCTGCTCGGCCGCATAGCGCTCACTCTGCCTCATCAGACACCTCATCCCTGCGCTAAAGCCCTCCCCCCCCCCCCCCCCCCCCCCCCCCCGGCCTGGGCAGGAGGACCCTCCTCGGCCAGGCCACCTCTGTCCCCGGCCCTCCCCAGGCCGCCTGTGTCCCGCCATCCCCAGGTCGCCTGTGTCCCGCCATCCCCAGCTGCCTCCAGGGCTGCTTCTCCGCCTTGCTCCGGCCCAGGGTCAGCAAACTGTGGCCCAGAGACCCCGGTCTCGTCTACTAAGAAGGACTCTGGCTTTCTCTTCGTGGCTGAACAAAACCAAAAGAAAACGATTCGTGACACACGAGAACGACATGACCTGTCACCTGAGTGTTCGCAAGGTCTTATGGGCTCACGGCCACACCCCTGCGTTCCTTTATGTCGCCCGCGGTGGCAAGGCTGCGAGGCTGCGACACTGAACGGCCCCCACACGGAACATGGTCCCTCGGTTGCTCATTCCCCTCCCGCAGCCCCTGGTGCTAAGTGAGCTGGAGGCCTTCTCTGCCTCGACCTCCCCTCCGAGTCCGAGAGGACACGTGGCACCGGGCCCCGAGGTCCTTCCCGGCTCCAGCCCCTCAGCCCGCAGCCCTGCTCCCACACCCCCACTCAGTGCTCACCAGCCACAGCGAGTATTTCCTCATCGCCAGGCCCCGCCTGGCACCCTGCTTCTGCCCATCCGTCAAGCCCTGGTCACCTTGCAGGACCAACCCCACACCCGCCCTCCCTGGCGTCTCTCCTGAGGGTTCTCGAGAATCTCGCGTCTCCTGGTCTCCACAGTGCTCGGCCGGCCCTGCGGGGCCTGGTGAGCGAGGAATGAGGCCTGGAATGGTCCTATTTCCAAGTAAAGTCACATTCTGAGATTTATGGGTTAGGATTTCAACACAGGAATTTGGGGGGAGGGACCCAATCCGATCCATAAAGCAACCCTGTTACTCAGCCAGAGAAGGAATGAGGTGTTGACATGGGCTGCAACACTGGCGAGCCTTGAAAATACTGTGCTAAGTGAAAGAAGCCAGGCCCAGAGGCCACCTGTGTACGATCCCATCGCTATGAAATACCCAGAATATGCAAGTCTATAAAGACAGAAGCCGATTACTGGTTGCTTGGGGCTGGGGAAGGGATGTGGGAATAGGGCAGCATCATGGAAGGGTCTTGGGGTTTCTATCTGGGGTGATGTTCTAAAACTGACCGAGGTGAAGGTCGCACCACTCTGAGAATATGCTTAAAAAACCCAAACGTTGAATTGTACATGTTCAATGGTTGCATTGTATGGTATGTGGATTATTAAATGGTTGAGCTGTATAGCATGTGAATTATAGTTCAATAAAGCTGTTGCAAAACAAAACATGAATTGGTGTTATAAAAGTGTTGAAGACTAAAAAAAAAAAAAAGTGACTTCTAGGGTTTGGAGTCCAGAGTTCAAATCCTGGCTCTGCCACCTTCTAACCGTCACCAGGAGCAAGTTTTTCTGGGAGCATCTCCATCGGGAAGATGGGACCCGGGGAGGGGCGTGGCCACATCTCTGGCAGGGCCGTTCTAAGAACTGGAGATTATGCTCAGGGCACATGCCCGGGTTGCGGGTTCGAACCCCAGTGGAGTGCGCGTGGGAGGCAGCCAATGATATTTCTCTCTCATCAATGTTTCTAGCCCTCTCCCTCTCTCTCTGAAAAAAACCAAAAACAAAAACAAAAAAACAAAACAATAAAAACATATTTCAAAACCAAACCAAAACAAAGAAACCCTGGAGACTATTTAGGTGAAATACTTGGCACATAATAGTACCTCAGTAACGATGTTATGAGTCAGACGTTTTACGTCCCACCCCTGAACACCCAGTGCAAGTCTACCACAGGGAAACCTTTCTTTGTGCCTTTCGTTTATGTTTTTAACGGCCAAAGAAGGCCTTTTGAATGCCTCTCAGGGAGCAAACTCCCCACGTGGAGTGGAAACGTAGAAGAAAAACATTTCCTCCTGTTATTCACCCCAGCCCTGTGCTGCCTTCCGACATTTCTCGCCTGACTGTTTTGGTCCCTGGAGCTGCTCACTGATGCTGTCAGGGCGGCTCAGCCTGGGCGCCCGCTGACGGGCTCCAGCTGGGACGGAGCAGGTTGCTGGGCTGGAGCGGGAGAGGCGGCCCCGGCTCCCTCCCGAGGAGGGAGTCCACACTCGGCAGCGGGGGTCCGGGCCGGGCTGTTGGGCTGGGGAGGGGGGTGTGGGTGGGGTAGGCGGGGAGGGGGTCCGGGCCGGGCTGTTGGGCTGGGGCGGGGGGGGGGGGTGTGGGCAGGGTAGGCGGGGAAGGGGTCCGGGCCGGGCTGTTGGGCTGGGGCGGGGGGGTGTGGGCAGGGTAGGCGGGGAGGGGGTCCGGGCCGGGCTGTTGGACTGGGGCAGGGGGTGTGGGTGGGGTAGGCGGGGAGGGGGTCCGGGCCAGGCTGTTGGGCTGGGGAGGGGGGTGTGGGTGGGGTAGGCGGGGAGGGGGTCCGGGCTGGGCTGTTGGGCCGATAAATCTGTGTCCAGGAGCATTTGCCAGCTCCTCCTTGGAAGGGCTGGGCCTGCGTGAAGGTGCGCAGAGCCGAGCGAATGCTGACCCCTTGGGCGTAGCCGCTGGGAGACGGTGTGGTGGACGGGTCCCTGCCACATCTAAGAAGCAGCTCCCAGGCTTCGAAGAAAAACTAGAAGCAAATATTGCTGGTCGTGAGCTGGACATCGCCATGGCAGAGCCGGGAGGCCCTCGGGTCCACACGTGCACAGGGAGGAGATTCAAAGCCCTTTGGGGTGTCCACGGATGGGGCGCTGTGTGCCAGGCCCTGTGCGAGCCTCCGTCTCCAGTGGGGGGCGTGCAGGAGGCAGCCGATCCATGATTCTCTCTCATCCTTGATGTTTCTATCTCTCTCTCCCATCCTCTCTGAAATTGATACAAATATATTAAGAAGAAGGAGGAGGAGGAGGAGGAATAGGAGGAGGAGGAGGAGGAGGAGGAGGAGGAGGAGGAGGAGGAGGAGGAGGAGGAGAAATAGGAGGAGGAGGAGGAGGAGGAGGAGGAGGAGGAGGAGGAGGAATAGGAGGAGGAGGAGGAGGAGGAGGAGGAGGAGGAGGAGGAGGAGGAGGAATAGGAGGAGGAGGAAGAGGAGGAGGAGGAGGAGGAGGAGGAGGAGGAGAAGGAGAACTCTACAGCAGCCTCCACGCCCTGGGATGGTGGAGCCCTGACTTCGCACCTGGCTGGGGCCGAGGCTGCAGGAGGTCTACATTAACCTTGGCCTCACTGAGCTCAGGGCAGGGTGTGCAGCATGGAGCTTGGACCCTTCCTCTCGCATTTATTAGGTTTCTTAAGGGGGGGGGGCAGCTGACACTGTGTCTGGAGGGGTCAGTGCCTTTGCCACCTCCCGAGGGCTCTGTGCGGCTGCGGTCAGCTCGAAGGGTGGGCTTTGCGAGGGAGCGGGAGGCGTGGCTGGCTGGTCATCGGCGCGCCCTGCGCCCTGCGCCCTGCGCCCTGCGTCCTGCGCGAGCAGCTCAGCAGCTGCCCGTTGGATGGTCTGAGCGAAGACCGGGCTGGATTTTCTGGAAGCTGGGTCTGCGCCACCGTGGGATCTCGCAAGCCGCCAACGCTCTGCTGCGGTGACAGGGAAACCCCGCTGGTGAGAACGGAAATCCATCCATCCGTTCCGTCCTGTGTCCACTCACTCAGCCTACGTGCGGAGCCTTTTATTTTGGGCCGAGCGGTTTGCCGTTCACCTGCCCCGGGCGATGCCCTCACGAAAGCACTGTTATTCCTGTCGCCCAGACTGGGAGGGTGAGGCCCGGTGCGCGTGTAGGACGCGGCTGCACTGGGCTTCCGGCCTGGGCCCCTCCCGCCAGGGACGCCAGCCCTTCCAGGGGAGACAAAACCTGCAGGACATGAGCAGGACAAGCAGCCCCGGGGGTGCCCCACGTTTCCGGGGTGAGGGGCAGGAGAGAGCATCTCTGAGCAATGCCAGGCCGGAGACGGCGCCTGGAGGACGTGGCGTTGGGACTGGGCTTGGAACCAGGCTCCCGCCCAGCGGCCAGCGGGTTCAGAGGCCGATGGAGGCCACGCGCTGCACAGGCCGGAGGCCGGGGCGTCGGATGAGCAGAGCCGCATCCAGGAGCCGGAGCGATGTCTGGTTTCATCTTCCCGGGGAATAAAACGTGCCGCACCTCCCCTGGCAGCAGCCGGAAAGGCAGATGGCTGGCTTCCCACCAGCCTGGGCGCCTACAGCGTGTCAGGCATCAGAGCGGGTCCTGCGACAGACTCCATCCCCCACCACCCCGGGCGGGGGCGGGTGAGGGTGCACCGTGACCTCGTGACAGAGCTCGTGACCCCGCGCCTGGCGTTCAGGCTTGTCTGCCTCATCCGAGATGCTGAGCCGGAGAGCTGGGCTGGGCTGTATGTTCCCGGGCACTTGGGGGAAGCGATCAGCCGTCCTCACGCATGTACTAGTATGTGTTTGACATGAAACCAGGTCTGAGACTGTTTTAAGCTGTGGCGATACTGTCACAGGTGCTGGGTAAGGGTCCAGTGCGTTTATGTCTGTGGGGTTGGGTTCCTGCAGTTCAAGCTTATTATGCTTTCAAAAGCACCTCTCAGCCGGCGGGGCTCAGGGGTTGGGCGTCGACCTAGGAACCAGGAGGTCATGGTTCGATTCCTGGTCAGGGCACACGCCCGAGTCTTGGGCTCGATCCCCAGTGGGGGGCATGCAGGAGGCAGCCGATCCATGATTCTCTCTCATCATTGATGTTTCTCTCCCTCTCCCTTCCTCCCTGAAGTCAATAAAAATATATTTTAAAAAATCGAATGGCTCTTTGCTGAATGAACTAAAAAGGTGCGTAAAGTCCAGAGGGCCTGCCGGGCAGAGGCTGGTCCAGTCCCTGCTGCCACATCTGTCCCCAGGGCCCGGCGGAGAGGGTGCCGGCAGAGAAACTCCTCCCGGCTGGTGTCCGGCCCCGTGTGTGGCCCCTTTGGCTTCGCCAGCTGTGTGAGGTCTTGGCTTCAGCTGCTCTGTCCTGGGCTCAGCTTCCTGAGCAGGTCGCCGGCGAGCGGAGCGGGGCTCAGAGGGGTCCCTGGGCTCTAGCAGAGCCCTTGGGGCTTGTGTGACCTTGGGACGCTCCATTCAGGAAGGGGGGGGGGCAGGCTGGTCCTGGCCCTGGGCCCTGGGGAGGTCAGGTCAGGCCCTGCGGTGGGACAGCCGAGCCGGGAGGCAGCCACAGAGCCCGCCAAGGTCTTGGCCAAGGACGTGCTAATGGCTCCGTCTACAGTCCAGGGACGCGGTTTCGGGGGCTGCATCGTTGCCTTCTGCTCGCTGCTGCGAGATGATGACGTTTGAGCCGCCTGAGCCCAGGCCCGTCTCTTTCCTGGGTGACAGGCCCTGCCTCGGGGGACGTGGTTCCCGCTTCCCCACCGGCGCACGCGCACCCGGACCGAAGTCGTCGGTCCCACCCTTCGGGCCCCAGCACGCACTGTCTTTGTCCTTAACTCATCCTGGGATGGTCCCATGTTCTCGTCTGAGAGCTGATATCCCCACAGCCACACGGTTGTCAAATGCTCGTCCACCGTTTACAGTTTTTAAAAAATATTTTTACTGATCTCAGCGGGGAGGGGAGAGGGAGAGAGAGAAACATCCATGATGAGAGGGAATCATGGGTCGGCTGCCTCCTGCACAACCCACACTCGGGATCGAGCCCACAACCCGGGCACGGGTCCTGACCGGGAATCAAAACCCTGGTTCATAGGCCGATGCTCCACCGCTGAGCCCCGCCGGCCGGGCTAGAACTAGGATTTTAATCTGCGAGCACCTTGTTTTTTCCTGTTCATGCTGACGAGGGCCCACTCCCAGGGCTGCTCCTGTAACCACAGGCGGGACC